TCTTATTTCTAGCAAATGATCAGAAAATACAGGTGGGGTGAACGTCTGAAGACGGACGGCCACGTCTTCCTTGGGATAAATAGAGAGTTCAAAATACCATCTTTAAGAATTCCCAGGGAAACTCTACCTCATTTTGAAGCCAAACGAGTAGCTGCTACTGATTTGTTGATAATATATTAATATTGCCATCAAAGTTGAAGTGCCATCAATTTCACAGGTGAGAAAACACGTCATCACAAAGATTAGCCAGCAGTTTTTTTCTTCAGCTAAGTCCCCACCGGTAAAGATAATGACCCTCGGCAAAGACCAAGAAAACCGCCGACGCAGGTCACAATGATTTTGGCGCTTAAATCAATCACTGCCAACAGTCAAAAACCACCGTTATAACATATGAGAAAAAGCCTATTGCAACGGTTTTTTTATTTATAAAATTATTTTACATGCTTTCCTACTACACATCAAACATTCAAAAATTCTACATGTAATTAAATAAATGTGAAACAATAAATTTAAAAAAAAAAAATTATCTACATTTATACGGTTAAGTAAGAAATTACATTATCTAATAAATAAAAAATACAAACAATTTTAAATATTTATTCAGGAACGTGTATGAATAAGATATTAAAAAAATCTTTTTTCCATTGTCCAAATCTTCAATGTGATACTAGCTTAACCTGCACACAAATCATTTAAATGATTAAATTCAAATTACTAACTATAACATAAAAACTAATTGATAATTATACTCAAAGTTTTATATCTTACATAAAAGGATCATTTATTAAAACACCCTTTATAGTTTTACAAATTTTATTAAAATCTATCTCAGTTTACATTTTACTAACTCCCCCTATAGTTTGCAACCGGCTTACTTAATCAACCTTCTATCAAGAATATTTTATATTTGCTGTCTCAAATTGTCAACTTAACCACCTATACTGTGAAAAATATTCAAGGGCTTGGGCATGCGCTATTTTATTCCAAAAATATCCCTAGCACATCATAATATCATATCAAGCTTTTAAAATGAACCATTGTTTAATTTTCAGTTCCACCACACAATGTTTGGTTTTAGTAGAATGAATGAGAGAACAGTCCATACCAGGTTATTAGTTAATTTGCAATGGCATATCTTCCTTCTTCAAATAGAGAATAAAATTGAATGAAAAGAATTGTTGCCCATGTTTTGCTAAGGGCAAGAGTGACATTTCCATTTATATTTTTTGTAGATTAAATTGGTCCAAACAGATCCTAAGGTCAAAATTGTCATTTTCCACTTCAACCTAATGGAAGGTTGATTAAATGAATTGATTGCAAACTATAAGGGTGTTTTAGTAAAACACAAACTATAGGATAGGTTTTAGTAAATTCATCAAACTACATAGTGTGTTTTAATAAAACACAAACTATAGGGTAGATTTTAGTAAATCCATCAAACTACATAAAGTGTTTCAGTAAAGGACCCGGCATGAAACTATTATAACATGAAGTTCCATGTCTTACATATGGAGTTAGCCAAACAACATGTTTCCCAATAGTTGTTACACGACAACAAAATCGGCTCATCCGCCGCTATACATTAAAAAAAGCACTGCTATAGGTATTTAGCGGCAAATTAGTGACGGACCCCTTTCTGCCGTTGTATGCAACGTCGCTATAGGTTCTAGTGTATTTAATTGTCATCAATTCAAATATCCACCGCTGTAAATGTATCATTTTCATCATATAGCAGCGGATATGCCGCCGCTAAAAACAAACATTTTAGCGGCAGATATATTCGCCGCTAAAAAAGTTGATATTCGCCGCTAAAAGCTCATGTTCGATTTTATCCAACCTGATTAACGGAGATGCATTTAGAATTTATCCAACCTGATTAACCAAGATACATTTACAACTTATCCAACCTGATTAACACCTATAACATCACACCAAAATTTCAAATAAAATTTAATAAAACTAAACTATTAATTAAAAACAAATGTACATCTTAATGTGAGTTCCATACATTAATGATATGGGAAAGGTACAAAATTCTGGTTACATATAATAATAAATCAAAAAAAAATATTGTATCTTCTTCAACAAAGCCTTCCATCATTCTTGTATTGGTTCCACCTAAAAAACAAGGAAAACAAATATAAAAATTAGAGTGTGCATGATATACATCAAGGTTTATAAGTTTAAAGCTTCCATCCATAGGGCACACCCCCTAGTGATCAATTTCATTCTCATATGATCTCACTATGTCCCTTAAAATAAAAAGTAAAATGATATAATCCCCACTTTATTTATATGAGAGAATTAAGGTTGGAGGATGGTGAGAATCAATTTTTAAGATGCAAACTTTACAAAATAAGTGCAAATCAGACAATAAATGTGAATTTACATCAGGTAGGATTGTAAATTATAATTAAAAAAAGATGTAAATCTAAATCAATTCCATCAAACAAATAAACAACAATTGAAGGCATTTAAAGAAATTGCAGATGGTACTTATTATTTCACCTATAGGATACTTCATATAAATTATATTTAGTATATCTATCAAAATTGACAACCTCTTGGAAAGGTTCTTTAATCCAAGAATGCAGGGAATATCAGGGAGCAGAACCAGCTTCACATTGCTTACACACACATTTGGAGAGAAGGAAACCAATCAACAGACTGGCTAGTGAATATGGTTCAAAGTGTTAGTTTAGATCTAGTTGATAATGTTCATTGGGCCTTGGCTTACATCTGTTTTATGGACAGGTGGGACAGGCCCATGTTTTTTGATGAAATGGTAATTTAAATCTGTGCAAAAACTGGAAATTGATTAAGAACTTATGTGCCTCCAATGTTTGCTTTTTGGCCAAAGCCCATTCTTCACTTCTCTTCCTCTTCTTGAGGACGGACTCGGGAACAATAGCCCCTCCTTTGGTTTCCTCTTTACCCATCTCTCTTCGACGCAGTAATAGAGCCATCTTTAGTTCTTTTTCACATTAGGCAATCTTTTCCACCATGCAATGAAGGTACCCAAGGGTCCTCAAATATAAAGATCTCCTTTCCATCTCTCACCTCCCAACAAAACTCCTTCTTGACCTCTTCCTTTACCTTTAAAATAATTTTCACCATATCGAAGGTTTTGCTTGAAAAAAAAAAAAAAAATGTATTTCTCTCGCTACACCAGTGTCACAACTTCTGCTTCAATTTCCAGACTTAAGATACCACCCTGTAAGCTGCAGATCTAGAAATATTATCCCTTCATTTTTCACGAGTAATTTGTTCCTTCACCTCTTTTTCCCCTGAATATGTCACAAGGAAAACTGTAAACCAATCTAAAATGCCTTTCATGCCTGCATTTAATAATTTGATGGAAGTAGAATTTAAAGTGCTAAAATTAATAAGAATGCCTTGAAAGTTATTAATTTCTCCATTTGAACCTAGTAGTATATATAGCCAAGAACATTTATGTTAAAATCAAATCAAATGCAAAATAATTGTCACTGGTTTCGGGAAATGTGACTTTGAAAATATATTTGAATGTAATGTCTAGGATTTCTGAAGAATTTTAACTATTTTAAATTTGTTTGCCACAAGACCTATGACCTAACTTACCCAGATATGGCAAGGACATGGCTGGACAAGGTGTCGCATATGGAACTACCACTAAAATTTGAAGTACCCAACACAATCAGGCATCTTTGTACAGGTATCTAGGTATCATGGCCTGTGGCAGGCCCAAACTAAGAAGTTTTGTAACTGACATAGATATTATGTTGGCTTCAGAAAATCTAGATTTAATTAGTTTGGTAGTATAACAGATTTTCAACTCCTTTTTGTGTAATCAACGATTTGAGTTTTCATCTAATAATACTTGATTTCATTCACACTATCTAGTAATAATCCTTCTCTAGCTTCTTCATGTGTAAATACCGTGTTTTTGTCCTCCAGCTTAACCAAAAAATTAATTATGAACACATCTTATTACATTGAATTCGTTCTTAAGCCCAAATCATCCAAGAGAACACGTAATTAATTCGTTCTTTGCTTCTCAAAGGAAAAATTACAGTTTATCCTTCAATAATATAGTTTTTATGAGTTAATAATCAAATACGCATCTACAATAACATGCTTGCTTACTGGAGATGAGTAGGTTCACTCTAGCAGTTTCCACATGTTGAGCCAAACCACAGTGGATGGGTAGGATCTTGATTTTCAATGACCCCAATCGAAATGGTACAAAGACTTGCTATGTAATCTCATATCAAGCGACTTAAGTGGCTTTTTAATGTGAAACAGTTGAATTTTATACAGTATACTTGCATTTGACAAACTTTCAGCCCAGATTTATATAGCACTTGTCATCCCATATGTTCCACTATGAAAATGCAGAATCCAGTTTTCTCTAACAGAGTATATCCTCCATGTCCAATAAGGCTATGGGGATGACAAGTAGGAGATAGGTGTTTCAAGTCTTAGTGTCCTGAACAATGATCTGATAACTTTGAGGCTAGAACAGGTGGAAATGACAGTATTGAATATGCAAAGAGAAAAATCAGGTATTTTTCCATTTCCGACTGATAGTGAAGATTTTCTTACGAAGTTACTATTACGAGAATTTATTTATCCAAGTTCTGGTGAATAATACAGGATTTATGTCCCAAATTTACTATCATTTCCATGGTCATGTTTTCAGCTTTCTTCTAAAGGTCTAGTTTTCTTTGAGATTTTTGCTTTTACATTCTCCCCATTTACATAAATAAGTGCTATGAAACTTTTTCTAATTCCTTTATGATTTATCAATTTGATCACCTTAATAACGTATTCACCACCATGTATTCATCCACCTTTAATAATTATTGTTGAATATTTTATGGCGCTTTTATTATTGTTTTTTATCTCACTCCTATTGTTTATTCTAAGAACTCAGAAATAAATCACTGCAGAATTTTATGCAGGTAACCATAACACCTACGAAATCACTAGTATAACTGGTGAAAAATTATAGAATCATGTTAAGAAAATTTTGTTTCTATTGCTTAATGTCTATCTAGTAGACTTCAGAAGTCTGTATGGCATCACATAGAGTGAACAGTCGTGGAGATAGTATTTCCCTTCTGTAGGAGAGTAACATCTATTAAACACGATTTACTTCTAAAAAATGGCATTCACCGCAACGACTGTCATGCAGTTGAGGCACCCCCACTTTTTCCTTCTCTGCCTTCTAAACCCTGGTGGAACCTCACATTATTTGAAAAAGATTTGTCAAAAAGCTATCTGCAATTCTGCATGCTTCTAAAGACTTGTAGATGATATTATAGAATAATCTGAACATTAGGCTTGCAGAAGGGGAACGAAGAACATCAAGCGTTAGACTTCATTGGTCCAATCAATGAAGAATTGCTTAAATTGTTCAGAAGCAACTGATCAATTAGCGAGTTAGTGACAATATTTAAGTATATATCCCTTTATGGGTCAACTCCCTTCCAATTCCATTATATCTACATGGTTAATTATTGTCTGCCACTTCATCTTTCATCAAGAGCAACCTGATTTTCCCACTCTCCTGATTAGCTAAAAAAAAGAAAAGCTGGATCGCTTAAAAGAGGAGATCACTAACTAGACATGACTACTACCAGATAAAAGGATATATTACAAGCTCATTAGAAATGACAATGGGGCGGGTTTGGAGAGGGTTTTGTAAATTCTAGATCTTCCCCATCTCTCGATCTGTACCTCTCCAAAACCCACAATAGTTGGATTTTCAGAATCTAACCCCCTCTCCCTCCCATACAAAAATGTAAAACCCTCCCTGACCCTAGTCACCCTACCCTCTTCACATTTGAGGGCGTGGGTGGAAGGCCGGGTCCAAAATCCCCATCTAATTTCTTGTCATTTCTTATTATATATAAACAACAAGCCAGCAAAATAGTATGAACAAATCAAAATTTTCAATTATTTGATAAAAACATACAAAAAATATATAAATTATCAATTATTATTTACATAAGATTCAAAACATTATTAAATTCAACACAGAATATATAAGTTCATATACCTTACAACAATAATATACGAGTTGTAGAGGGTCAGATTTAGCCTAATACTGTACCCTATATATATCTGTCAGGACAAATAGGTGTGGGTACCCGATCAGCAAGGTGAAAATTGCCGTCTCTAAAGCTCATGTTTTGAATGAAGTCCTTCTACCCTAGGGCTGAAAACCAGCTGATAAGTAACTGGCTCATTAGCTGGCTTACCCCACGGGCTAAATTTAGGGCTCCTGGACCAATTCCAGCCAAAGCTCTAAGGGAGCCTGATACAAGCTATGATGTGATTGGTTGCAACTGGGATTGTGTAGGCTATATATTATAATAATATATACACATTTTATATAATAACTAATATACCCTAAATGTAGATCAGATTGCCAATCTTTGAGTTATTGTTAACTTTGTTTTCATTTAATGGCCATGGACCATGGCTTCTTTCATTTAATGGCCATGGACCATGGCTTCTTTCATTTAATGGCCATGGACCATGGCTTCTCTCAACTGTGAATTTATAGCCAACAATATTAAAACTGTTAAGTGTGTCCTAATCACTTATGGTTCATTTGGTTTGCAGTCGGAATTGAAATTGGAATCAAAATCGAAATCCTCCGGAATCAGAATTGGAATCGGAATGGTCCATTCCTATAGTCGGTTTGATTCAGACAAGAATGAAAATGGGAATTGAAATCAACAGGAATGAGATTTCATTCCCAAGGGAGGGTAGGGAATAGCCATTCCTTAAATAGGGGATGTCATTCCAGTAGGAATGGGAATGGGATTCCAATTCCATCCAACCAAACAGTTGGAATTGGAATCCCCTATTCCCACAAACCAAACGGGGCCTTAGAGATGCCTAGGATTTTAAGAACCAAAGTCCATTAGATCATGACAAGCTCAGCAAAGATCTTTTCTCATCCATGATTCATGATTAAGTAATAGCTCCACTGCTTCCATCACTCTAAACATTAACAGAGTTGCCTCGTGTCTATGCTAAAGTTCTAGAGCCCATTTCTTCTATCAAACTACCTGATTCCAATCCATACTAAAACACATCTAAATCCATCAATCAACCAATTAACAAAGTATATTAATTTCATAACTCCATACCCATTTATCCACATAAAAGCAGCATTAAATGTGCCAGTTTGGAGGTGGTTTACTGAGTGTGGTTGAAGAAGCAAGGAATTTTAATTCCTCCTGTTCATCACCACTCAGTCAGATTAATAGATGTCCAGTCAATTGCAAATCACACCATTAATCCACTGGTGAATCACACTCCTAAAATTCCAGTATCAATTTAATTAGCAGATTTTTCTATTGAAATGCACTAGCCAGCTTTATAGTACTTAATTGACTAACCATGCAAGTTGAAGATAAGCTATATACGGATAATATTTGATAAAATACAAAATTCATTCCTTCCTATTCAGATTAAAAAAGATGAATGGTACAAATTACTAAGATCAAGAAACTTAAATTCTCAGTACTTGTTATTAACCCTTTTTTTTATTTCGTACACTTCTGAATTGTAAGGTCTTGGAGGCACCAAACCCAATTGTTTCTTAATTCTTCCTTGTTTTGAATTTGTAAGGTCTTATTTCTGAGTTTGTAAGGTCTTGGGTTGTTTTGGATTTTACAATATGTGCACTTCAATATGACCAGTTGAAGAGAACAACCAAGTATTGAAAATGAGAACAACCCAAATCTGTGACATCTTAACTGTGCACATATCACACAATGTAAGTAGTAAAGCCAGCTGAACTATTTTTTGTTTTTTTTATTTATTTTCCCACATGCTTATTAATAGCCTTCAAATATCCAAACAATACCCACAGAAAACCACAAGTCTTTATGTAGTTCCCTTTGATGTCTCATTTTGTTAATGAGACAAAATTCAAATATTTTATCAAGAGAAAAACACTAAAATATTTATATATCTAGAGAGAAGAATAGAAGAAAAAATCTTTGCATAGCATAACAAAAAGCTTCAAGATTATAAACATTATTATATTAGATGCCTCCCCTACAACCTCTGTCAAATTCACATACAAAAGAAAAAAAAAAAGAAGAAGAAATGCACAAGATTAAAATAATGATAGAGATAATGCAGTACAGTATCCAATGAAAATTAAGCTTTTGGTGTTTACAATGAACCTTCCCAAGAAGATGTGATGATTAAAAAAATTAAATTATAAAAATTATAATATTTTTTTAAGAATGATCATGTTCAGTTCATGTACTTACCCATATCAACGGGAAAACTTTGCTAAAACTGGCTCAACATAATGCATTCAAGCCGTTGGATTAGTGGAACATGTATTCAAGATTTTCTTATCAAAATTCAAGCACACATTGATGGAATGATCTTTGATATCCATACAGTAGTCATTCCTAGCTAGTCCTACCTTTTCTGGGGGGAGTCATAGGTTTTTTTGTTCACTTTCAGATTATCATCTCTCTTTCTCTAGCAAAATATAGGCATTGGAAGAAAGAAACTCTTAAAGCTTCATCCTTCCACGTAATTCATTCTTTTCAATTGATTGCTCTTTCTTGTTTTTGTTTTTTGATAAAATATGCCTGCACCTGAACAACATTAATTTCCATGAAGAAAACAAAAGACATGAATTTTCATCATTTATGAGTTTCCCTTTTCTTTGGGAAATTATTCAAATGAAAATTAGCATTACCATTCATTGGAAGTAATAGCATATCGATAGATTTATTTCACTAAACTGAAATTTTTATGGTAGAAAACTAAACTGGAATTGAAATTCTAAAAATCAAATAGGAACCCCAACATAGTAGAAGATTTATTCACAAGAAAATAATAGCTATGCAAAGAAATAATGCTTTGCTTTGCTTACCCTATTCAGACAATGAACCTAGATGCCCTGCTCAAACTGTGATGAAAACCTAGACGCCCTATTCGACTGTGATGCCCTGTTCGCTCTTTGGTTGAACGTCAAAAACCTAGATGCCCTGTTCAAACTATGAAAACCTAGTTGCCCTGTTCGAACAATAAAGAGAAGTTAGTATGGAAGAAGAAGAAGAAGAAGAAGAAGAAGAAGAAGAAGAGGAGGAGGAGAATGAGGAGCACTCGACTATGAAAGAAAGACAGAAGATGAAAGGGGGAGGGGAAAAGACAAAGAAATCGGTGACTTACCTCACCAGATTTTGGTTCAATCCAATCGATTCTTTTCAGACGCCGAAGGAAGGAGATGCAAGAGATTAAGGAGAGATGGTTGGAAGTGGGAGTTTCATTGGTGCAGACTGAGGGATGACGAGGGAAGTGGGACTGTGGGAGTTTCGTTTGCGCAGGAGAGAATGCTCTCTCTTTTTGGGTTTTCAATGTGCGAGTGAATGTTTTCCAGTGGCGGTTATGCATTCGCCACTATACTTAATTGTTTCTATAGCAGCAATTTTTATTAATCGCCACTTAGAAAAAGATGTATAGCGACGGATTTCTTAGTGCCGCTAAGAAATCCCCCACTATATGCTGAATTTGTTGTAGTGTTCTAACTATTCTAACATGGCTAGATGGAGGAATGAGTGGTCGTTCTAGAAAAATTGGAACAGTGGTCATACTCATAACCAAGGTTCAAAATTTTGATACGTATTGGACCGTATCGGGGCCTTTCTGATATGCCCCTACAGGGGGTGTATCGGGTCAGACCATGGTTCAGAGGGTACCCAGAACTTAAACCAACCCCTCTGAACCAGTTTTAAAAAAAATAAATAAATAAAACACAAAAAAAGCACCAATACAGGCCGATATGCCCTACCTCATATCGATACAGGCCGATACCCCTCTAAATATGGGCCTGTATCGATATTTAGAACTTTGGTCATAACCTCGTATCATCATTGACAAAATGTGTAACCCCTATAATTTTTGAAGGATCTGTGCTAACGACTATTCCTTTGGCCACAACAATTCTGTGGTTTTAGATAGACTTAGTAAACCAACTTTAGAAGATTCCTGTACATGAGACATTTATTTATCAATATAATGAAAAAATAGCATCCTATTAGTTATTAAAATTGTATATAAAATACATATAGCAGAATATGTTGTGATTTGATGTTGAAAGGGACAGAACTAAGAAAAAAAAAAAGCAAATAAACAATGGCTTCATAATTGTAATGAATCCATGTGGTCTTAATTTAGACACAAGACTTTTTTTTTTTTTTGATAATTTACACAAGGAAGACTATTAACAACATTACATCAATAATTAAGATGTAAGAAATATGATACCTATAAACTTTGCAACATAGATATCAAATCCTCCACTTGATTTCACATGGATGACATCTCCTCCCTTAAATTAGACACTTCTATCCCAACCTTCTTTGCTCGTGCTCTAATTGATCTTACGTGCTCCTTGGCCTTTATTTTACTCTTGTTTGCTTCTTTCAACAATGTCACATATTTATCACAGCTTTTAATACTAGTTGGAATTGGATACAATCCAAATTCATACACTTGACCACAGTGTTCTTCTCCCATTACACGAGCACAAACATCTTCTAGGCAAGAGCCATTTGCCCCACTCAAACTCCTTGACTTGCACCATAGAATTTTGCATTTGATTCTATACAAAGGAAAACCAATGTATTTATAAAAACTGTTTTTTTTATGAATTATTTATACAAACTGTTTTAAAATGAATAATATTAAATCAAAAATTCCACCAATAAACGAACTATACATACTATCATAAGGGTCTATCTTTCATTATATGTGTTATAAAGAATATTTCTACACAGGACACATCATGCCCTCTTTCTTTCCTCTATCATTATAAAAATAATTAGTGTTTGTTAACATACAAACTTCTAAATATACGTGATGCAACACTTAGAAAAGTCAAAAATACACTTTATTACCAATTCTTCGTGTATCCTTGCAAAGCTTTTTTAGCCCGCTAAATGACTGAAATTTTGCTTCGAACAGTAAAGCTTATTAGTCTCATGTGCCTACACCCACAAAAGAAAGTATTAAATTATCATACCATCAGCTAAAAATTCCAATGCTAAAACATTTAAGAGACTTACTCTCCCTTGCTCAAATGTCAAATATTACACAATGTTTTTTTATCATTAATATTGCACAATGTTTTTCCATTGGATTGGATCAACTCGATCATCTTTGAATTGTACTTCATCACATTATCAGGATCTGGATCAAAATATTTTCACGTACACTTCTAATCCCTCCACTTCAACAAGGATTTGTATACAAAATCCTTGGAGTTTTCTTTCATATCCAATTTTGTCTACAACCACATGAGAAAACTATCATTTATGAATATAACACACATATTAAGAACAAAAAAAATACATCTGTACCTAAATAACTTTCGACAACTCCTTTTTTGTTTCATTTAGTATATCTTTCCAAGATCTAATCTATAGATAGCTCATTATAATTTCGTGCAATAGAACCCAAGAATTTTGTTAACCTCATTGAGTTTTCATTGGCAAGCTAATCTTCATTAAAACAAAGATCAATCTATTTATCTGCTAGTTTGTAGCACCCCAAGTCCTTGTGCTTTGTAATGACCCTCTCTTCAGTTTGTTGGGATTTGGGCTGTAATGTTATTTTCGAGTTGCCACTAGGTTGAGTAGCCTCAAGTAGTTCTTGGCTTGAAGTTGATTGACTTATCCTTTGGTTTGTACTTCTTCATAGTGAAAACCTCATTTCACTAAATCAAACAATTATTAGCAATAAAAGCCTTTGAATGAGAAGATATGATACTAATTAGTGCAAATGTGCAACATAAAAGTTACTCAAAAGCCATCCCATGATACTAATTATTTCAATATAATAAAAAATCCAAAACATGAAACTAATTAGTGTAATATAACTACTAAATGTTGACAAGAATTTAAAGTGTTGTTATAACTAGGTGAAAGTTGACATGAATTTAAAGTGGTGCAAGGAAAATCAACATTAATATAAAGGGAAGATTTCATGTAAAATCTATCACTATCCAGCTTATGTTTTATGTATGTATATCTATCTCTTGTATATTTTCTCTCTTTTTCTTAAAAGAAAATTTCATTTTATTATAAAAAAAGCTACAATTTCATATATTAGGCTCATTGGTTTCTTCTAACTACAGGAGCAAATCCAAAGTGCAATTTTATTATAAAAAAAGCTACAAATTTAGTATTCTAACCTGATGTGCATCCAGCTATGTACACAAGCAGGTATATGTTAAAATATATACGTGCATCCTACCCTCTCTTCTCATCTGTTTTTTGTTTCTCACTTGTAGACTGTTAGTTTAATTTATTCTTTAATTTTAATCTGAAACTTACTGGACTAATTAACAACTTGTCCAATGTTTTGAACCTTCCCCTTCCCCTGGTATCAAAAGGTGCTCCTTTCAATAGCACTCAGTCCCAGAAGAATCTCAAAGGTTGCTAGATTCAAGCATAAGTGCCTAACGTAATACATTAATTTTCACCTGGAATTATGGAAATTTGGTCTAACGTAATGATTTCTATTTTCAATTATTAAATGCACAACCTAAAAGAAAACTGAAAAGTAATTTCCTTTTGCAAGAGGATCTTTATTGCCATGGAATCTAGTACTTTAGACTGATTTTTCTTTGGTTCTGAAAAAGAATATAAATAGTGTTTTGTTATCTAGATTTGATGATTGATTTTACAATGAATGTGATCTATAGCTTGAGCTAAGTACAAAGAAAACCGCATCCCTACCAGCTCAGAACTAATGGTATATGCTTTGACATCCTGTCATTCAACCCAACTGCATCCTGGTTGCTTTATCATCCTATTCTTCCTCATCAACTCCCGTATATTTGCAGCTTCTTCCCAATGGCCGGTTGCTGCAATAATATTTGATAACAGAACATAAACAGCAGGATTTTCTGTTTCAATTTCTAGAAGAAATCCTGCTGCAATCCTTCCTAACCTTGCATTACCATGAATTTGACAAGAGCTAAGTATCGCCCACCAGATCTTGGGATCTGCTTGAAAAGGCATGGTATTTATTAGTCTTTCAGCTTCATCAAGGTGCCCAGCTCGGCCAAGAAGGTCAATAATGCAAGAATAGTGATCTACCCCAGGACTTATGCCATGATGATCCATCATGGAAGCAAAAATTAGACGGCCATCATCAACCAAACCAGCATGACTACAGGCAGACAGAACTGCAGTGAAGGTTGTCTGATCCAGTTTTTCACCCGATTCCCACATTTTCTTAAAGCATGCAATAGCTTTTTTGCCTTCTCCATGATGTGCATAGGCAGAAATCATGGCATTCCAAGATACAATGTCTCTTTCCATCATCCCACTGAACACTTTAGCTGACCAATCTAAATCCCCACATTCTGCATAGAATGAAATTAGTGTATTGCCCAAAGGTGTTTCCAAACCAAACCCAGCTCTGATAATGTAGGCATGGACCTGTTTCCCATGTCTCAAAATTGATCTATTAGCACAAATACTTAAAACAATACTGAGAGAGTACAAATCTGGCTTGAGTTCAGATATCTGCAACTTATGGAATAGATCTAATCCCAGGTTAGGCAAACCATTATACAGGCAACCACACATAACTGTATTCCAGGAGATCAAATTTCTTGAGAGCATTGCATCAAAGATCCGAAAAGCCTGCTTCATCTGGGCATGCTTAGAATATACTGAAATCAAGGCATTGCATACTTGGTTGTTTTGGATGAGTCGATTTTTAACCATTGTGGCTTGCATCATCTCAATGAATTCTAGACAATCAGAGTTTGCCACTAGGCTTCCTACAGTAAATTCATCTGGCTGAATCCCTGCCCTCTGCATTTGCATGTAGACCATGATGGCTGATGTTTGCAAATTCCCTTGAGCATAACCAGTAATCATCGAATTCCATGAGATTGGATCCTTACACTCCAAGGTCTCGAAAACAATGGAAGCTGCACCAAGGTCCCCACAAATAGAATACATGGTTATCATGGCATTGTTCACATAGGTACAAGTTTGAAAGCCCATCTTAATGGCTAAAGCATGTAGTTGATGACCAAGTTTCACCATTCCTGTAGATGAGCATGAGGAGATAACACTCGTAAAAGTTCGCTCATTGGGCACAAGGTGATTTTCTTGCATCTCCTTGAATATCATCAAAGCTTCCACATCTCTTCCTCTGCTTGCCAACCCTGCTATCATGGCATTACAAGTAATCTGGTTACGCTTTGTTGATTCAGTCTCTTCGAATAACATAATTGCATCCTCAACCATCCCACAGTTGAAATACATTGTAAGCTGAGCATTAAGCACGGACAACCTTAACAGAAATCCTGTTCTAATTACCAATGAATGCACTTGCCTCCCGAAATCAAGCAGCTCTGAGGAATCGCATGCACTGAGGATGCTAGCAAAAGTGTAGTTATCATGTCTAATGCCCAGAAAATGCATTTGACGGAACATGACAAAGGCAACCTCTTGATGCCCATTCTCCACACAACCTGTAATCATGGAATTCCAAACGGAAACATTTCCCTGAGCTTGAGGCATTTCATTGAACAACTGGCAAGCATGGTTGACTTGGCCCAACTTGGTATATGCCGACAGGAGAGTGGTCCATGTATAGGCATCGGGGGCTGTGATATCATTAAAAACTCGGCTTACAGAGTTTAGATCATTCAATTTCGCATAGAGTGAAAGGAGGGTGTTGCCGATGTGGGTGTAGTCTCTGAAACCAGCACGGATGACATAGGCATGAAGCTGGTCTCCGGCTACAATATCTTGGAGGTTGGCACAAGCGGAGAGGGCACTGGTAAGGGTATATTTGTCAGGTCTATGGTGGCTAGCGGAATGAATTTGGTTGAAGAGTTGTAGGGCTTCTGAGTTTTGGTGTGAGCGGGTAAGTTGTGCAATTCGGGAGTTCAGCTTTACGAGGGTTTCAGTTTGGTTCACAGCTGGTCGCATTGCGATTACTATTTCTCATTGCAATTGCAATGTGCAATGGCAGATACCTCATTAGTCAAACCTGTGTATCTACATTTTGGATTGTAGTGTCAAATTTGTATTTTATTTAACTAGAAAATTTAAGTGTAAATTAAACAAAAGAAGGAAAAAACTATAAATGGCTATTATTAATCAAACAATAACACAATTTAGCTAAAAAATGACATTTTAGAAATAGAAATTATATATTTCACTAAGAGAACGCCAAGACTAAACGATACCTATTTCTTCAGTAACAATCATAAATAACATAAACAATCCCACCTTCTCCAAGGAGTCCACCTAAAATGGAGTGTTATAACCTAACGGGGTAGAGAACAAACTAACTAGTAACTTTCTAAATCCAAGACCTGAAACCCTTGCCCTGTTCCTTTTTATCAACTAAACAACGTGTCCTTCCACTAAGCACAAATCAACAATCCCAAAATCTTTTGTTATTTTATTTTACTTTTATTTTCTAAATGCATTGCGTATGTACCAATTTTAGTCATCAAAGAAACCCAATTATTGAAGAAACAAGTACGTACCTGGATCCAGGCAAAACCAAATTGTCGAAGAAACAAAATGCAAGACATTCTTTAGGGAAATGGAATGCCCAGAATAGAGTAATTATCCAAGTCCCAAGTCTTTTATACTAGTGTAGGACAAAGAGGCCAACAAGTGACTTACGGTGATCAAGACAAAGTTTCCAATCAACTACCCCATGGTGAACGCGCATCATCCATTCAAAGGCAATAAAATCATTAATGAGTAATCAAGTAAAACATGTAAATATAAATGAAATGATGCGAAGGAAGAGACGGTGAACTTGAACCGACCTGCTGCTGTTTATGCTTCAGGGAACTTGAAGATAAGAGTGAAAGAAAGGGCCACATCCACTAAATGTGCTGCTGTTTATGCTGCTGTTTAGGGCTTCAATAACAGCCGGAGTAGCAGCTGTCACAGTGTTCATTCAGAAAAAGCTCTTCATCAGTCGTATGGCAGTGGTCTGATATGGCAACAGTATAGCTATGCCGATGGTCTACCGTGAGTGGAAGGTGAGGGAAAAGGATGAAATCGTTGGAAGTGATGATCTAGAGAGAGAATCGAAGATTGAAAAAGGGTTAAGGTGAGGGTTTCTTGTTGCAGTAGAAGAGATTTTGCTGAGGGAGGGCTTCCTTGCTGCGATTGAGAATTTCAGAAACGAAATTTCGCTAAGGGAGGGTTTCGTCGATTGCTGAAACCGACCCGGAAGCCGAATCGCGGGTCGCTGGTTCGACCGTTCGGTTCGAACGAGCCAGACTATATATATTTGTGTGTGTGGGTGTGTGTATGGGTATGTATAACAAATGGTGTGTGTATATATGTATAAATATGTTTTTTATCTATAGAAAATGTATAATTATTTTTAAGATGCAATATATGTAAATATTATTTTATTTTTAATTTCTATTTGTAAAAAAATCTAAAAATTGCAATTTGAGGTCTAACAAAGGGGTTTTTGGTGAAAATAATAGGCCAAGACACCTTTGGCCCTTGGAATGCATAGATCTCAAAAAGTTATCTAAAATCAAAAGAAAAAGATCAACCCAATCCAATATCAAAATGCAAAGTTATGCCCTCCAGAAGTTTGTAAATACATTAAATGTGCAACCTATAACCCGGTGACTAGGTCGAATAGGTCAAACAATTGAACTACCTGGGTAGAACAATTTTTTACTAGGTTAGCAGTTTTTTTACCAACTGGTAAGTTTCAGAAAAATCTGACCTAGAATCAGTAAAAAATGCCTAGACTGCTATCATATTTTAAACAACCCAAAATAAAACAGTGGGTTACATCAAAATTAAGATTTACTTAACTATTTTTACACAATTCTAAATGTATTATTTATGAAGATTATAATCCTTTTTATCATTAGATGCGAAAAACCTGTGTTTGGCAAGTCTTTTTGCACGGGCTTCAAGCTATTTAAAAGCCCGAAAGCCTAAATTTTGGGCTTTTCCCGTTTGGCAATGAAAAAATCTATTGGGAAAAAGCTCTAGCCAAAAAAGACACAAGCAGCCCAAATTTGGGCTTTTTCAGGAAGCTTCAAATGAAACTTTTACAATTTTTTAGTGCCCCATCTTCTTCGAATGTGTGGCACGATGCACATGCTTGGAAGAGAAAATGGGTTATTTTTCCACAAAAAAACTATTTGAGTGTAAGTGGGACCTACCAATGGTATGTGGGGCCCACCTTAAAAAATGTATGTGGGCCCACTACATGTTCACACATGGACCCACATGCACGTCTAACAATGGCATGTGGGGCCCACCTTGTAAAATGTATGTGGGCCCCACATGCATATTCATACATGGACCCCACATACATGTCCACCAATGGTATGTAGGGCCTACCTTGAAAAATGTATGTGGGCCCACATACATGTCCACACATGAACCCACATGCATGTCCACCAATGGCATGTGGGACCCACCTTATAAAATGTGTGTGGGCCCCACATACATGTCCACCAATGGTATGTGAATCCCACCTTGAAGAATGTATGTGGGCCCCACATACATGTCCACACATGGACCTTTACATGCATTCCATCAATGGTATGTGGGGCCCACATAAATGTCCACACATGGACCCCACATGCATGTCCACCAATTGTATGTTGGGCCTACCTTGTAAAATGTACATGGGCCCATAGTTGTCAAGGCGACACCTAGGCGGGTGCCTAGGTGACACCTAGGTAACAAGGCACCCTTGGAGGCTCACCTTGCCCAATCACCTAGCAGTTTTGTATTGTGTCTTATAAAATACTTTTAAATTGTTACTTTTTTGAGGTTATAATTATAAAATAGACATTATTAAACAAAAAATATTCATTATTTTCTTATTTGTTAGGGTTTAATCAGCACAAACATTGCTAACTGTTGTATTGAACCCTCAAAGACTTTAGAATCTGAACCAATAAGTAAAGGAAAAACTTAAAATTTTGTCTAATCAATACATTTCTTCCTCCACATCTTTTTCTTCTTCTTCCTCCTTTTCTTTTCTTCTTTTCCTATAACAAAAATAGGGGTTCAGTCCCCATATTTTTTTTATTTTTCTTTTCTTTCTTCTTTTTCTTTTCATAAATATATTGATTTTGTAGACATAAACATGAATGAAGTTTATAATTTCTTATAAAAATTATGGATAGTTATTAAGGAAAGATGGTTATGGAACAACTACCTAGGATATGTATTTTTCACTTAAAAAAATCTATCGCCTAGACAACTAGGCGACAAGGCACCCCCCTGTCGCCTAGCCTTGCCTTGGCACCTTGAAAACTATGCATGGGCCCCATGTACATCTCCACACATGGACCCCACATACATGTCCACCAATGGGGCCCACCTTAAAAATGTATATAGGCTCCACATACATGTCCACACATGGACCCCACATGCATGTCCATCAATGGTATGTTGGGCCCACCTTGAAAAATGTATGTGGGCCCCACATATATGTCCATCAATGGTGTAAATCCCACCTTGAAAAATGTATGTGAGCCCCACATGCATGTTCACACATGGACCCTACATGCATGTCCATCAATGGTATGTCGGGCCCACCTTAGAAAATGTATGTGGCTCCTATGTGTTAAATAAAAGGTTTACTGGCCCACACACAAGACATTCATATATATGAAAGGTTTCCTGAGATTTATGAAAAATATTTCAACACAAATAATCTTTGGTCTTGCAAGATCTATTTGTAAAAGCTCACCCATGTCTTTTAACTATCAAATCTTATAATAGATCTTCTGGAAAAGACTTGCCAAACAAGCATAATTAACAGCAACAAGATGATGATGATGACTAGGAATACGAAATTGGGAGTTAAAAAAAGGGATGCGAATTTGTTTTGGAGGCACATAAAGGATGCGAGAGAAAGAAGATTACAAGTTTTGACTTGATTTCTATGGGCATGAATGATAGGTCAAATATCCAAATGAGCATTGTAAACAGAAGTTACATGTATTTGCTATAGTTGTTAAATGTATTTGGTAGTCTAGGAATTATCTCTAAATGGCTTTGGTGGTCAAATATCCAATGGCTTGATTTCTCCTAAACTACCTCCCCCACTTTCTCCAAAATTATCTCTAATTCATATTTATATTCTAAATTATCTTTAAGTCCTATTTATCTCCAAAATTATTTCTAATTTAGTAGGGAGTTTCTCTCTTAAATTATCTCTAATTCCTATTTATCCTCTCCCCTACTTTTTATCTATATCTATCTAAAGAAAGTTTGGATTAAAAAATTTAAGAATTATTTAAATATTCTAACAAAATCATATAATAAATTTAAAATATTTATTAAAAACACAAAAAATAAGTTTATGTTTTTTACAAAATATATCACGAAATTATGTACTAACAATTTAAAATATGTTTTTTTTGGATTATCAATTAAATTTTTTTTCAAGTATTTAATAATATGTAAAAGCTTTAAATAAATAAAATTCAAAAAACAAAAAAAATTAAATATTTTCTAGATTATTTAAATATTTAAATAACTAAGTATTTATCATAACTAGATTTTAAATAGTTAAAATAACGAAATTATGTAATAAATTTTAAAAAATTCTTCAAAGTAGAAAATAATTATAACATAATATTGAAATTAATAATAATTTAATATATTACAAAATTAATAATGAAATAATATATGGTAGTATAAATTATGATTTTATGGATAATTAAATTCTAATTTCACCTTAGCCTGCATGATAACTAAATGAATACAGATTATTTTGGTTTCCTTGATTTGCAATATTTTATTCAAATCCATTTTTGTTCATTTGTTCCATCACTTTGTGGGTATTCAGTACTATAGTCTTTGTCTTGTGTGGTAAGCATTTAGTTCTGCTTATTAAAGTTGATGAATGCAGATGAAAATGACTACATTCTATGCGTTTTTTATTTTGGTAACCATGAGAAACTGAGTGATGAAATTGGATTTACTCCTCATAGAGCACATCTCACACCAATCTTACAACACATCGTAGCTAGTCATGTATTAGAAACATCTTCCCCCGAGACAAAATCAAGTATGAGAGGTATTCTCAATGCACGACTAAAAGCATTGTAAGGAGGAAAGCCAGATTCTTGAGTGATCAATAATCCGAACAAGAAAGAAATAATGGGTGTAATGATACTCTCAACCAGACTCATCTACATACATTTTTATTTTTGTTTTCGCATGACAAGAGCATGTTTTTGGGACCAAGAAAAACCATATTGATGAGGGCGGATTTGGCCCTCCAGTGGCATTATGACATCTTGTCACGGTCCTATACAGGCTTAGCCTTGCCTACGCTTGGCTGGCTTACGTTAAGGGACACCATCGTCATTTTTTCCTGTAAGATTATTGGGAGAATTGATGTCATCTTCAGGCAGACCTCTAAAAGCTTAACGTACTCTTTGAGGAGGGGTGGTCGACCTCCTTGGGTGCCTAACCTTGGCACTCCTAGACCAACTTCCCTTGCGGGGCGGCCCTGGTTGATGGCTAGAATGGCTAGAATGGCTACCAGGGTTCCTCATGGGCGCACACATGCTCATTGGGACAATGCATGGACCAGCACTACGCTGCCAACACTCAAGGGAGGTTTGACATGCGGGCCTTGCTCAAGCATGACCCTTCACCTCGCTAGCCCCTTTCCCAAGCTGATCGAGCTATCCCGTTGCCCAAAGCGCACGGGTGTGCTTTGACCCAAGCTGTTGTCCAATCATCTTGGCACACAGGTGCCCATCATCATCGGCATATAGGAGACCCATTCACATCGGTGTCAAGCCACCTCTTCGGCGCATAGTCGCCTTACATTACAGTCGTCCCCCTTTAGCACGTAAGTGGCGCCTCCCATGGACTAGCCAGAGCCAGCAGAGTGCCCCGGCCATGCGACTTGAGGTCATAACCCAGCGCCACTGACCATTGGGGAGCCATCCCTTCAGGCAACTCCTAGCCTCCCAGCATACAAAGGCTTGTCCTGGCCTGCCTTGGCCTGAACGCTGCACGGGTTTATTTCGGTGTAGAACTACCCTCGTGACAACCTGGCACCTCATGACAATTAAGTGCAGCCTCTTGACAACCAGGCAGCTCGCTACCAGGGAGCTCCGCTTCAACCCCTGAGTCACAGGCCACTTGGGGG